GCGTGACATTTATCATGTACGTTAATTACAATTCCACGATACACGTCTCCTCGCCGATTTCGTTCGCGTTAATCGCGAGAATCGCCGGCGACGATTTTGTATCGTGGAGGCAAGAAAATTTAGGCTCCCTACCCGCATTATGCATTTAACGTTAATTGTGGGCTGTTCGATTCTCAGACCAGATAATGTCTCGCGCACGATTCACACGTACGATAAAACGCACTAAATGTGAGATATGAATGTGAATCTTGAAACTCGAAATCTCTAATTATGGGGCAGCGTTGAAAAGAATAAATTCGTCTAAATATATTCGCTAATTTTCTAATCCAAGAGAATATCCCGAGAAGCATTCTGCCTCCGATTGTTAACACCATAGGTTCCTAATTTTCTATTTTCCCAGCGCATCGCTATTAATATAATTTGTATTGTTCATGAAAGGGAGAGAAAGGAAAGGGAGAGAAGGAAGAGAAGTTTGATAATGCAATTTCGCCGATACACGCGGAACGAACGCGTAAAGTCAGAGAACCCCGAAGGAGCAAAGTCCTCTCGGCACGGTCATTTGGACGTCGCGCAAATTGGCAGACCTCCAGGTTTTCCGTACTCTCACCCGTCGGCGTTTGCTCGCTGCCCGCGAATATCGCATTCCTCGTCAGCATCCGCGTGTGTATGTATGTGTATGTGTGTGTGTGAGAGAGAGAGAAAGAGAGATTCGCTTCCGCCATGACGACGTGTCTAAACGCCGCACGTGCCTCACGCTTGAGGATTGAATTAATTCATGTTGGCATGAATTTTTTAACGATAAACATTACACTCAGAAAAATGTTTCTTCGATTTAAAGAAATCTTTCTTTGCTGTACGGTTAAAGAAAAAAATTTTTCTTTGATTTGAACATTTCTTTAAATTAAATAAATTGTTTTATTTGATTTCAAAAAATAAATGTTTAAATCAAAGACATTTTTTTCTTAAACTGTATAGCAAAGAAACATTTCTTTAAATCGAAGAAACCTTTCTTTAGATGCAGAGGTGACCTCAAAGACTTTTCTTTACAGTAAAATTTGCGTTATACTAGGTTAGTGCATACTAAAAAAAATTGCTATACGTGAAATTAGTAAAGTTAAATGTAAAAGCATGTTAATATTTTAAACTATTAAATATTCAGTAACGATAATGGCTGCGTTCAGCAGAGAAAACAGCTTTGCAATTGTAAGATTCTTTAATGAGATTGATTATGCGGGTTTAAATCCCGCAAGGAACTAAGAGAACAAGAATTAATCATATAATATTAAAGAATTTTACAACGGAACCATTATCACGTTATTTAACAAAATATATACTTTATACAGAATATATATATTTCATTGTCAATGTTATTGTATTATACCATTGTATTTAGATATTTTATGTAAAGCAGTACCTTTAATTAATGTGTATCCAATATAGCGCGAGTGGCTATACCGTATTGTAGCTAATTCGATTGAACTCACTCAGTGCATATTGGTGAACACTGGTGCACATTAAAGTCTTCGTACACAAATCGACATAAAGATACATCCAGAGAAAAGGTTGCTTCGATTTAAAGAAATTTTCTTTGCTATGCGGTTAAAGAAAAAATTTCTTTGATTTAAACATTATTTTTTAAAGTCAAATAAAATTTATTTGATTTAAAGAAATCATGATTTGAACGTCATTTCTTGGATTTGATTATATAATTTCTTTAAATC